CTGTTTATATATTTCTCATTTGTATGTCTTTTACATTTATACATAATTTCATCTTTGTTCCGATTCAGTCCTGTTTTTTTAATAGTAAAATATTTCTTTTATGTCTTGCATAACTTCGTTTTTATGTTGCTCTCACCTGACTTAAAGCATTGGTTTTGCGTTTCACAACCCCACTGTTCAGTTATTTTTTCCAGAAATGTGGGCAGGAAAAGGAAACAGCGGCAGGAAGCATCACAGTCTAGTACAGGAATTAAAAATCAGTTCATGAATAGAGGGGATATTTAGAAGCAAAGATATAGTTTTTATTCTGAGCAGGACACTGTGTTAAACAAAATGTCCCAAAAGCAAAAGGCATTCTTTTAAAAGGTAAAATTCAAATCTTAAAAGAATTTGATGAGAATACTTGTTTCACAAAAGTTCACTTAGCAAGAAACTGGATATTCCTGTGACAGCGCTAACAATGATAGTTTATGATAGGAAAATAAGCTGAAGAAAGAGCAGAAATTTGTGGACCGTGCACTTCAAAAATATTATGTGTTCCAGATGAAAGAATTCCTAATGTCGAAGCCATTTTGCTCAAATTTTTTATTCAGTGAGAAGTCAAGAGAAATGGCTCTGCGACTGAATGTGAAAAAAAGCCTGTTTTTCAACTTGATGGCTGCATAAATTTAAACTGCAACATGAAAACCCATGTCATACATAAATAGAGAATCAAAAAGCATTGCTGCTGAGTTGATTGAATGGATGTTCAAGAATTTATTTGCCAGAATAGATGCTTAATTTCTTAAAATATTAATATTAGTTAGCTATTTATTTAAATATTACTTTTAAATATGTTTCAACATAGTTAATATTTGAAACTAATCAAAAGTACAATAATAAAATTGTGTAATATTAGTTGCAGATTAGTAGTGTCAAAACTGCTCTACTGAGATGTATATGCTTCGTATAGAAAATTAAAATTTCATTTATTCATCTTTCTCATTTGTGACGTCGTTTGTGAATGGTCCCTTGAAAGCCATATAAAAGGTGCTTCATAGTATTTCAAATAGCTAATGATGCTCAAAAGAAATGGAAAAAAAATAACTGGTTCAGTTCATGGAAGGACAAACTCATACAGTGTTGCCAAGTGGTCGTATAAATTTTAGGAATGTTTATTTATATAGGGTTAATGTGGATTTTATCAAAATATGTGAGGACCTTCTGAATGAGCAAGTACTCAAGAGTCTTCTGAATGAACTCCAGTTATGAAATAGGTGCTGTGTATCTGAACCTTATTAAAGTAAAATTATGCAAGTGCATCATTCACAGGGGATGAAAAACTTGTTAAAACATGAAATAAATATTTGTTTTTGAAAACATTTAAAATAAAGGTTTACTTGAGAAATTTTATCTTCTTGGTGAAGGTATAAACTAGCCAGCAGCAGCAGGAGGCTATATTAACTGTATATCAAACTGCCACAGTAGTGCTATTTTATTCCATTGCGTTACTGTAAAACTGTGTGTGTTGCAGAACATGTATTTTTGACATGAAAATAATCGTATATATGCATTTAAAGAGCAAAAGATAAGATGTATGATAAGTTATTAACAAACTGTGTATGTTAAGATATTCATGAAAAAGAATAAGTTGCAAATAAGTAGATGGTGCTGAATGATGTAAAACTTGCATGTAAATTTTGTTAGTATTTTTTTAGTATATTTATTTTTTATGTATATTTGTGTTATTATATTTATTTATTTTTTATATTTTTGTTAGTATATTTATTTTTAATTTTATTAGGATGTAGAGTAATCTAAAACCATACTATTTCTAGGATCAGGATTTTAATAGATGAGATAGGCATTCATATAGAGAAGAACATGACAATTGTAATAAACAGACCTGTCCTCTTGACTTCTAAAATTAAGTTTCATTTTCATTTCAGTATCTGTAATAGCACTAGAAAGAAAAAAAAGTGATATTGTGTCTTAATAAATACACTATTGTGTTTTAAAACTAAAATTTGTATAGGTTTCTTTTGATGTTTACATGATGTGAAAATCTTATGAATGCAAGCTCATTTTGTCAGATGTATGCAGAGGTTACAAAATTTGTGGAAGATGGTAACTTTGCAAATGAAGTGAGGAAATGAATAAAAGGATTATATAGTAGTTAATGGAACTTGATGTAGTTAGTATATGTATTTTGAGTTTAAATTATTACATTCTTAGAATACAGATACCATATATACTTTTTGTAATACAAGCAAAATCACTGATCAAAGGAATTTGTTTCTGTATGCATAAGCTCATAATTGTAATATAATCCAATGTCTGTGCAATTCCTTTTAAATTACTTAGTGATCCCTAGTAGCATTTCTTGCCAGTACTTTGTGTCTATTTCTGTTTTTTTTTTTTTTTTTTTTTTTTTTTTTTTTTTTAAACCAGATAGTGTTTCGTGCCTATCATCGTCTGAATTATTCCGATGTTCGATTTTTTAAAAAAAATTTTGGATACATGAACATTTTGCACTGCTAATGGAAAATTATTAAACATCATAATTGTTAATAGTTCATTTTTACTATGTAAATTAGGATATTTTTTCAATTTCTGCAGTGTTTTGTTCCTTTCTGCCTCTTAATTTCATAAAAGAGATTGTAAATTTTTCATCTTTTTGATAACGCAAAGTAATATATCTGCTCACAAGTATATATTTCATATAACTAGGGATACTTCAAATATTAAATAGAGGAGAAACACACCAATGTAAAATTTGAAATTAGGCAAAAAAGCATTATTTAGTATAGATTTAGAATGAAAATCTTTAAGTTTCAAGAGTGATCAGATATGTATCTCTTTTCAGAAAGAAAAGCATTTTTGTAAAATAGCAGCATGTGCTTGCTCTGTTCTGCCCATTGCTTTTGCTGTGAAAAAGCCACTGTTTTTCCTATTTCACAAAATTGTATTTGCTCCTGAAGAAGGGGGACCTGTGTCTGATCATGCGAAAACCCTATGCCAAATTGCTTTTTTTTTTCCAAATATTGCTTTTTTTTTTCCAAATTTTAAATTTCAGATGTTGTCTTATCATATCACTAACAAGTGAAATATATATATCACTCTTCTACATACAAACAGTTAAAACAGTCACCCTTTCTTTTACATGAAAGTGTACATGTTTATACAGTACAAAGTCTGAAATCCGGACACCATTATCTGGAACGATCTAAAGTACGGACCTCAAAACCAGCAACAACGTTTTTCTCCTAGGCTTTACACATGCCCATTTGATTCTCCCCCTTCCACGCATCATAAAACATCTGGAGAGTCCCGATTCTTAATTTCACTACGATACTAAATAAAATACCTTGTTATTGAAGAAATAAACATTTTAGCATAAATTTGTACAATCAGTAATTTGGCTCCTTTGCTGCGTATCTGCTTTTTGGCACACATCTCAAACCAAAACATTCCACATAGATACATCGTTAATCTGACGCCAATCTGGCAAATCATTATTTATTATACTTTCCTTTCATCACCACATGTTTATCAAAACATGACAACTTGAGAAATGACTCATGTAGCGATGCGTAAGCAAATTTTTTATGTTAGTAATTGAATAATAAAGGAGTATGGTAACATTTTATGTTGACATTATGTTTAGATTACTGATTTGAGTTAAATGTGCTAAAAAATGATGATGAGGAAAAATTTACCAAAAATTTCTTTCCATATGCTAAAAATAGATTTTGTTGATGATACTCATAGACCCAAAGATTACATTTAGGGCTATTTGAATTAAAAATTACTGATTTGTTATTCACATAAACCCAGAACCAGCACGAAGGTTTGTTTGGCAGCACAGAGTCGCAGAATTTAGGACCCACAGAGACTGCATCAGGCAGTAAGATATCTAGCAACGGCCTTCAATAAGGCTTAAGTATATGTGGGAATTTATTTATTCAGAACTCTGATAAGCTTTAAGCATGTGCAAGAAATAGACACAAGTATAATAAATAACTAATACAACTCAGGCTTAATTGTCTCGGTGCATGATAGAAGCAAGATAAATTTTAATGGAACAACTTGTCATTAGTTGCCAAGCTCATGGTGCATAGCCAAATGTGTATAGTGAAGGATAGCTAAATTTGATGATGCTAGCTGCGAATTTTAAAGGTTTTTGAATATCGCAAAACAAAGGTGAAATTTGCCAGTCAATGGATTTTGTAAAGAGTAATAAATGAAGATGATATAAAAGAAGTTTTTCATTGTGATGACAGTGCTTCTAAACCATCAGTCAATGAATGGCGAAATTTGTAGTATGGTTCTAGATCCATAAAATACCGCAATCGATAGTGAAGCAAGTGACAGAGAAGTTACTGAAAATGAGAAAATTCTGATGGACAAGTTAGTCAGGATTCTAGAAACAGCAGGTACAGGAATTCCAACAATGTAACTGAAGAAGAAATTATGTCTGTCCTCAGAATTAAAGAGAAAGGTATTAGCGCAAAAAACGGAGCAACTTAAACAACTTACGTTGAATAAGGTAATTAAATAAATATTAAGCTTTTTTTTTTGTAAATTTTGATACCCTTTAGATGATAAATACTTCATTATTTCATAAATCACGAATTCATATTTTTAATTTTATAATTTCTACATGCCATCTTACTAGATTTAAAGTGATGATCTGATATCTGGAAAAATCCGGAATAGCTGAAGTCCGGACAAGTCCAGATTAATGACTTTTGACTGTATCTATGTAATTTAAGAGCAGATTGTAAGGTTCGTTCGTTGGAATAGATTGTAAAATTAAGTGGAAGTGCATCTTTTCCATGAGTTTGTCTTTATCAATCAAGAAATTTGTTCTAACATTTTTTTTATTCCTCAGATTATTTAACTGTATTTTTAACCCTTTAATAATAAGCAGTAAAGTTATTCTATTAATAAAAGTGTAATTAAACTTAAATTCATGTATTTCATCAAAGAATGACCAAAAACTTTTTGTTCCTTTGCAGCTAATCCTTCTGTCACAAAGAAATCTTTTCATATACCACAAAGATTAAAAATGCCTCTGTATTTTGTTTCTGCATCAGATGGAACAAATGTTGTTAAGGTGAGTCTATAAGTGCTGCAAGTTCAATAGAATGTAGAAGATAATACTTTTAATTGTGATTTAAATTTCTTGTGTAGCATACATATTCATACATTAGCCACCCAGTTTATTTATGTAGATGATAAATGGTATGTTATTTAGTAAAACAGCATTCATGTGTGTTCTGTATTGGAAAAGTATGAAATAAAAATATATATCTTTATTTAACACATTTTATTATTTTTAGATCAATTTTTCACGTTTTATAATTTTGAGATTATTCACACTTTTTATTACTTTTAGAAGGTTGATCAGTTTATTTATATTAAAAATTAAATTAATCTAGTAGGATGATTTTTAATAGCATTAGGATTTATTTATTAAATAGAATAGGATAGAATTATTTAAATATGTCAAAGCACACGAGGGCTATCTGCCTAAAGGGAGGGATGCCTTCGTGAAGTACTTTCTAAGGGAAACTGGCTCGTATGCACGTTACATATGGGGAAAACCACGAAGACGCCCATGAAGCCAGCCCATTCGCGGGATTCAAACCTCGGACTGAACTACCAGTGTTCAGCGTCTTTACCGCTGAGCTGCTGGTGGGCGATTTTTAATATAATAGTTTTAGAAACACAGGAGTTGCTTTCTTCACTCAGCAGCTATCTTCTGTTCGTGGTAGATAAACATGTTAAATTTGTTCGTATTTAAAGTAGATTTAAACATGGAAGGCAGTTTCATCACACCATAAAAGAAATTTATTGTTGATGACTAAAATTATTGCAGGTAGGACCTCTGTGATCATTACAGCTGGAATATTGTTGCAAATTGATTTAATCACAGTTCTTTTGTGCCCAAATCTTAATATTTTCGTTGTGTATTTAATGGAATATTTTAATGTCTTCTTTATATAATATTCAAATTAATTGCAAAATTTTGGGCATTTAATTGATGTTTTGTGAAGAGCAATGAACTGCTTATATTTTACTCAAGTAGTTAAAACATGTGATCTATAAACAGTAGTTAGAAAATGAAAATATTTTTTGCACCATTTGGATGTAATAAAATGAGATGTATACTTCCACAATTTTGAGAATCTGTTATTATTTTGAACAATAATTTTCATTTATAGCATCTTACATGTTGTTATTGTATAAGTTTTTGTTACTTTATACATTTGGCCAGTATACTTCATATTGTGACTTATCTCACCTGTTACACCTCAGAACCCATTGCATCTGAATTTTATCAGTGGGAGGAGTACAGGATTGTGCCTGTGATTGGCATGGGCGCCTTCTGAGGTGGCAGTACAACTTTGCCGAGTTCTGTCCCAGTTTAGAAGGATATTCCTCTAAGAGGGTGGGTCCAAGGATCCTACACCATTTTCCCTTAATCTTCAAAAACATTGTACCCTTTCAAACATCCAGCCCTTCTTTAGAATAAGAATCCAGGCCCAACAATATAGCAGACAGCAATGCTAATCACTGTACCAGTAGTTTTCAACCTTTTTTTGCCCCATGCGTCGCTTTTACCACTGCTAGATGATCATTCTGCCCCCTTTTTGAAAACTAAAAAAATTCTTCCTGAAATTATGAAATTTCACACTAGGAAAATTCCCCCATTTGAGTAAACCTGCACTGTACCAATCAAGTCAGCTGTATATTTCTTGAATGTATCAATGTTGATTATGTTGTGGCAGGGAAGGAGTTTGTTAAAGTGTTATAGTAAGTTAGTCTTAATGACTATCAGAGGTATTAAGGAGTATTTAACATATCTATGTTAGTAATTTTGGATGTAGTTCATTGCTGGAAAAGGAATGGTGTATCTTTTACCTCAAAACAGCTGGGCTTAGCAAAATGTCCAACAAGAAACTGCTGAAGAAAATGTTTCAGTGCTTTCATATTCTGTTTAGCTGAAACATGCTGTGTTGTTTCTATTCCATGAGTTCTATTATGTTGAAGTTTCTATTTGGAGAGCTTTCGATTTCTCAGTGTTCAATTCACATTTGAATCACAACTTCAAAGTTAGTTTTTAATGACTATTTATTTACACACATCTGTTATTTTACAATATATGCATAATTCAAGATTAGTTTCAAATCAAAAGATGGGGATTATCCCCCTTCGAATCAAATTCTATTACGAGAAGCCAAGTGAGTGACCACTCCCTTCCAAGTTCATTTTTCGACTTCCCGTTGCCACTGGCAGAAGTGAAACTTTTGCTCATTTTACATTTGAGTCATACCATTTCTCCCACAAAGAATGAAAAAATCAAAACAAGTATGTGATGAAATTTTAAATAGCAATATACTATGAGAAATTTAAATTTTACCAAAAATTAACAATTTTATCTGGGCGTAACAAATATCTTGAATATTTTAAACTTACTTAATATTCTGCAAAGTTACAAAAGGCAAAAAATTCTTTTCTGAAAAATACTAGTAAAGAGATTAGTTCACTAAACTGGAAAAAATCAAATTGTATACAAAATTTAAGTTCAAAGAAAAGTGAAAACTAATAGTAGTACTGAAAACAAATTAAAACTAATTTGTTAATAAACTAATTTTGTTAATAAGTTCTTTGGTTTCACAATTTTTCTACCATATCTACCAAACTGAATGTTTTATCAAATTTTTCAAGTTCACAGTCTTTGGTATCAATTACTAAATCATCTTTTTTACCAGTATTTCTCGAAGATGGGGATGATTCAGTAGTTTTAAGCTCAAAGATAAATTCTTTATTGTCTAGCTCCATTGGAAATAGTCTCTGAACTGGTCTTAGAAGTTCACTGCTAGATTGTTTTTACTTTAGCCACTCTAATGTTGTCTTTTCCTGGGTATGTTTCGATTACACGACCCATAGGCCAGTCTGTTCTTTTCCTTCTGTTGTCCTCTACAAATAGTAAATCACCTTTCTTGATGGTTCGCGAAGGTAATCTTTGGTCGATGCACTAACAGGCCAAGATATTCATCTCTAAATCTTTTATGTAATTCCACACGTAACTTTTGGTGGTATTGCCATCTTTTCAATAAGTTGATTTTATCCAGACTGTCTAGATCCAGAACACCTTCAGTTCGAACATACTGATAGATGAAGTGAGTGCACATAAATCAGTGGAATCTTCTGACTCGTATGTTAATGGTCTAGAGTTGATATTTGCTTCTGCATCACATAGGATAGTTAACATTTCTTTATATGAGAGTAATGCTTTCCCCAGGAATCTTCTCAATAATTTCTTGATCATCTGAAACAGCCTCTCCCACCAGCCGCCCCACCATACTGCTGTTAGTGGATATAACTTCCATTAAATTTTCATTGTCGAAGAACTTTTGATAATTTGGTTCCAGTTAACAGATCAGAGTAAATTCCTTGCCCCTACAAAATTTATGCCATTGTTGCTATATACTACTCTAGGCCGTCCTCTGTACTATGAATTTTCGAAATCCAAGGAAGAATCCATTATCAAACCGTGAAAAACAACCTTATATTTAGCGTAGGTATAATGAAACACTCAATCGATTTCGAGGGCAGCTAAAGGTCCCTCCTCATCAGGAGAAAGAAATACATAGAAAGAAGAAAATAGGATCACAGAAAACACGTGGTGCTTATCAGCACTGCACGTCGTTATAACTAGATTTTTAATCAGAGTTGCACTGGCCGCCTACTTTTACTGAGCCAGGCGTCTGATCAAGCATAAAGAAATATTAGCGAAGTTAAAATAGGGAGCGAGGGGCAAATGCACATTACGCTCAAAATTGAACTTCAAATAATGGAAATCAACACTGAACGGATTTTTATACCTCTGGTAGTACCAAGTGCGAGGAGGTAACGCCATCTATCGGCAAAAATAATGAATTAAGACAGTAGAATTTAAAGGCATTAGGAAGGACTGGATTGGACTTCAAATCATTAACTAAACTTTCTAAATCTTTATGAATGTGAAAAGCCTCAAGAAAATCCAATTCGCCTATGGAAGAAGCCTTTGGATGATTTTGCAGACCCAAATCAAAATTATGGTTAAAAGTCCAGCTATGATACGCTATTGAAGACTTGTTAATTTCCCCTTTTTTGACATAAGATTCATGTTCCTTGATACGAAACTTCAACGCTCTTTTTGTTTGGCCAATATATCTTAAAACCACACTGACATGATATACTATAAATTCCCCAAGAATTCAAGACAGAAACGCAATCTTTTAGAATCGAAGGGTGAATTATATAATAGGGGAGAAACCGACTTGAAAAATTGAATTTCTGGAGAATCCGTGCAATTTTATAGCTAACAGAAGGATAAAATGGAAGCACGACAAGGTCATTGATATTATTTCTAACAGTGGAATGTCTTCTTTGATGGGAATCTGAAAATTTTTTTTTTTTTTGACGGCTTTATCAATAATCACGGGAGAAAATCCACGGTCAATCGCAACTGCTCTCAAATAATTAAGTTCATTGGTAAGCAAAGATTCAGAGGAACAAACTTTTAGCGCGCGGAAAACATAATAGTAAAAAGAAGCCATTTTTGCTTAACAGGGTGGCATGACTTGGCATGGGGTGGTAAACAAAACTGCAAAGGGTTTACGGTACACAGTGGTGCTAAAATCGGTTTCATTGCGGATTATAAGAATATCGAGGAAGGGAGGGAATTGTTGGATTCAATTTCAAGAGTGAATTGGATGGCTGGATCAATTGAATTCATAATAGATAGAATCTCGGATAAATCCTCTTTATAACCGTCAAAAAGTGCGAAAGTGTCGTCAACATACCGAATCCAAAGACGAAAAGATAATTTATCAAATAATTTCATCTCAAAATTTGATAAATTATCTTTTCGTCTTTGGATTCGTATGTTGTGTTGACGACACTTTCGCACTTTTTGACGGTTATAAAGAGGATTATCCGAGATTCTATCTATTATGAATTCAATTGATCCAGCCATCCAATTCACTCTTGAAAATTGAATCAACAATTCCCTCCCCTTCCTCGATATTCTTATAATCCGCAATGAAACCGATTTTAGCACCA